TGGGTACCTGTTCCCTTTCTGGACCTAAGACGTATGGCCCATCGGGCTTCCTCTGTGTGGGCTGCTGGAAAGTTCCCAACCACTCGTCTGCTCCCTCTGTGAAAATGTGTCAATACTTTTAACATATGTTTATGGCAGAAGCTGTGCATACGTCCTCCAAAGTTTTTATTAACTCTGTGTCTTATCCTACGTCCTCTTAAAGCGAGACCTGAGGTAGAAGCTGGGGAGGTTCTGCTTTGCCCTGCACGGACCAAATGTAGGAAGATGAGTTGGAGGGGCATAGAGTGAGGCAGGGGATGAAGGGAGAGGCAAAGGGTGCTATGAAGCTGCATTCGTCTGAGATTAGTGCTCTTCCAAAACAGTTTGAAGTAGCAATGAGTAACTGTCATGTCTTATATGAGGGGAGAAGGGAAAATACAGTAATACACATTGTACAGGACATGGGATGTGCTGCTAGGTTGTGCCTGAGATGCCCATGCCTGGCAGCTAGTGGACCACATGGAACTGTTTTCCACAGACAGGTGGCATCAAGAAGCAATCATGACTGAAACCTTTCTTGCTCCAGATGGTGCCAAGACCTAAAATGTCTCAGAGAACAAGATTTTCCAATCCACATTTTCTTTTTCACGGCTTCTCTGTGTGTGTGTGTGTGTGTGTGTGTGTGTGTGTGTATGTATATATGTATATATGATGTATATATGTATATATATATATCTTGTATTGGTATTATCTTCACAAAACATACTTGATATATTGGTATTATCTTCACAAAACATACTTGATTTATTTTGGGTGGGTCAAGATATTAATAAATGCAACAGTTCTTTTCTCATCGGTCATTGGTGTCTCCAGTAAGAACTGCACCGTCAAGGCCCCCTTTCTGTCTTCTCTCCCTGAGTGCTCCCAGGAGTGGTGAAAGTGGGCACCTGAGAACCAATGCTCACAACCATGGCTCAGGCCATCACCTCTTTACAATGCAAGGAATCCCTGAGCTCGCCATCTCAGGCCCAGTGCTAAGTTTTTACTTCCGAGGATATTCCCTTTTTGTCTTGGTTAATATTTGTCCTTTAAAAAGTCTCAAAATTGTACAAAGACAGCAAGTCTTTGGAATCCCTAATACCAAAATTTTTTCCTGAATTATGAACATAGAATGAATTTTTCACACTGACCTAAATAATTAATAATGATTATATCAAAATAAAAGCTGAATTACCTGGTTTACTTTGCTTCATCTTCATGGAACTCAACTCTCACCAGCTGTGGCTCAGCTATATAATTGGATGGGGAAACCTGATTTATCTGGTTATGGGTTTTTGGTATTAAAAATGTCCATGTGCGAGCGGGCACACACACAATCATGCATGCATACCTGTCTCTGAAACATGTGCCATCCCCATCAGTCCAATACAGAGCTCAAATAGTATGCTGTCTTGAGGGTTTTTTTCTACTGATTCCCTGGAGTTTAAGTTTGTTTTTTCAACTGTATGACTCACAGCCCCACCTACTGAGCGGCAAAAGCAATATACCTTTCTGGAACTCAGTGGCAAAGTGACCTTTAATTTTCTAATGTCTTCAAGGTCCCCGATGTGCAATTACTTTAATTGGACCTTGTAATTAGATGGTCAGCCAAGGGCACGAGAGGATGTATTGGATTCGGGCATTTTTTTTACTTTTTCTTTTTTTCTGGGCTGAGAACTGTACCCCAAGCAACAAAACCCCAGCTGGTTCCAGCCAGAGCACTGGATACTTGGAATGCAGTTGAAGATGCTGGAAGCTAATCTTCGTGCCAGGCAGTTCCACTCACTGGCAGAGTCTCCCTGGGTGTCGGAAGTGGGTAATAGAACCTAATATTTCTCTGAGTGTTTATCATTGACATAAACCCTACAGAAAACCAAAGTTCTCACTGAAAAGTTCTCACTGAGGTGCAAGCAAGGTTGGAAGTTAAGATGCTTTGTTGGAGGCCAGGAAAGCTCGTGTCAAGGGGTCCCAAACCTGAGCACCAAGATTTGGAGTCAGCATCAGGGATGCTGACCCCAAATGTCTCCTTAGTCACCCACAAGGGCCAATACAGGCATTTCATCTAATTGAATATCAGAAGTCTTGCTCATTACTGGGGATTCAAAAAATATCTTGTAACCAAGGAAACAAGTGATATCTACAATATACACAGCTATATATGATTACTGAAGAAAAACATATTAGAAAATTAGTGATATGATCAAAATATCTATATGGGAGAGAGAGAGAGAGAGAGAGAGAGAGAGAGAGAGAGAGAGACAGAAACAGAGACAGAGACAGAGACAGAGACAGGACAGTTGTGGCACTGAATCACAGAAAATCAGTCAAGCCAACCCTAAAACCACTCAAGTCATGACCCTAAATCAAGGATCATGGTGACGAATTAAGTGCTTTTGGCTCAATACTGCGTCTTCTCTCTTCTGTGCCTGCCTTTGATGATCTGTGTTGTGTTGTTGTTGTCTGTTTGATTTCCATGTTTGCTACTTGGAAATCACTTTGCAAAGTCAGCCAAGAAGAAACAACATTAGGATTCAGGAGAGCTGGGCTCAGGTTGCAGCCTACCCACCCCCAAGCCACTTCTGATAGAATCATTGAACTTTTAACATTCTTGGTTTTTGCATTGTACAATACTTGCAATACTCACTCACTGAGAGACTGGGAAATGAAGGGAGTAATATCTGTAGAATACTTTGAAAATAAAATATTCTTCATTAATGGAAAAACAATTAGTTTTGTTGCCATTAATGATGGCTATTAAGGATCTATTATTAACACAAATTAATGTTAAATCTGAAGAGGAATGAAGTGGTTGTAAATAACATCTAAATGAACGGGTTTAGACGCAGTCATTGTAACAACCAATCTTTCTCTGGGTCTCCAGTGAAGGAAGAAGCCCACCACTAGGGGATGGATAATGCAGCTATTGAGATAACCAGCTTTCACTTGTCACACTTGCACCAGGGCACCCCATCTCCGGTCATTCCATCCGTCTTCCTCTTCAGCCTGGTGCCAGTTCATGTGCCTAATGCAATGCCTACCATCCCCTGCTTAGGCTGAGAGTTTCCTGGAAAAACGGACGATTGCAGGAGCAGGCCCAGTCACACTCTGATAGTCTTTAGAGACCACTGACTCCCATGGCTACCACAGAGTATCAGTCCTCTAGCAAACCTATAGACGCTCCTTTCCCCCGCCTGGACTGAGGTTTGATGTGGGAGAAGGGACACCAACAAACTAAGTCCTTAGGGCGTAAGTAAAACACTTCAGGGACCTCTGCTCCTTTCTGAGAACTACCCCACAGCTCACAGTGTCGAATTCCTTCTGACATGCAAGAATCTTAGATAGATACCCTTCAAATTCATACCCAATAAATGGTTGGGGTTTCATTTGGTTTTGAGTGCATGTTCCACCATCCAAGAGCAGAAGTCCTCAAACATACGGTGCCTACAAGTAACCCAGCCTCTGTAGAAAGGAAGATTTTGAGTTGTGGCCCTAACAAGCTATCAGGTGGCGTATGCTCGATTCTGCTTTGCTTTTTCCGTCATTGACAGTGATGGCCTTGAATGCAGTTCATCTCCTTAGCTTCTCTATGCAAAGCCCTGCATGTGAGGGACATAAGGAACACACACGTACACAAAAAACATAACAATAAAGCCATAGACCTGAGACCTCCCCAACTTGTACAAAAGTTCATAAAATCTGCTTGCTGAACAGTGTAGCTCTTGGAACCAGGATGAATGAGCCACATCTGTGGAAGAGGAGATGCATTTACATCTGCATTTCTTGCCATACACAACAAACTGAAGCTTGGAACTGGTCCATGCTTTGCCTATAGTGGGCACTCATGGAGTCTATACTGAGTGGTTCATGGGAAGCAGGGCAGGGATGTGAACAGATATCTTACTTCTCCAAAGCCAGAGAGAGGAGTCTGGGCATGCTGGAATTCCTTTCACCTTTCATTTTGTTTTTGTTTTATTTTTATTTAGGTGGCTAGATGAGCTAAATTTTAACCAGTTTTTCAGAGCTCAAAACCCAGGTGTGAAAATTCCACTTGGTAAATATTCATACTATCAGAAGGAGGCTGTGCTCAAGATTTTGGATGTTATCATGGGTTTTAAACTGCAACTGTTCCCCCAAAAGAGCCCTACAGATTCCCCCAAAGCTAATGACTTGATTGGTTCTTTGGAGTAAATACCCAGTTTCTTTGCTGTGGAATTCCAAGCAGAGGCAATTTGTTGGCAAGCCTTCTTCGTTGGAAAAGCAGTTGTGAAACACATATCCACCTCTGGGGAAATGGCTCTACAGGGGAGCAGGTGATTCAGCAGTGGTGGCATGACTCTGCCTGTCTGAAGCATGGTGTGGGATGATCACAGCATGGCCTGCTGACAGCCCCAAGTCCCATCAGAGCAAGACCCGTTTAGGAAGCACTCTGTGCTAGAAACTCACAGAGCCTCTGCGCATATGTTCTCTTCTCTGCTGCTGCCCACACAGACGGGCATGTACCTCTGTAACTGGCCAGGTCACAGGGTCACCCGCTGAGGAAGTCCCCTGTGAGCTCTGACATGCAGAACATGATCTACACCAACAGGTACCATGTCTTTAAAAGTGGAAACACTTAAACATTTCAATTCTAGATCTCCCCATTTTTTCTGGGCTCAGAAATTTTTATTTGAATTATTCAGGGGATTTTTTTTGCCAGTAGACTGAGATATGAGATATGTCAACAAAATTACAAATATGTTTCTCTAAAGATATCCACGGAGATTTTTCTCCTTTATTTTTAACTTGCAAGGATTCCACCCTTCATCACTTACAGATAGACTATATTAAGGGAGAGCCAACCTCAGAAATCAGAGTAGCAGAATGAAATTTTAATTCTTTTCAAATACATGACCAAGCTCCCTGCTTGTTTAATATTATGGGGTTCCCATCTAACACCTTATAGACTTACTCTCTTTGCCAAGAAATACCTTTTTAAACCCAGGCCTGAAGACAAGAGAGAAGAGTCCTAGGGTCCAGCCCACCATGAACAGCTTGAGCTAGCCGTGTTACATTGAGATCCCTGACCACCTCTAGGACACAGAAAGGCTGGATGTACTCTGAGAGTTCTCCACCTGCTCCTCTGTAACTTCCCAAAAGTGTCACCTCCCTGGGGGTGAGGAACATCACTTGTGAGCACCATGATGGTCATCTATGTAAGAAGGAACAAATGGAGAAAGTACGGATGGAAAGAAACATTTTATGCCAAAGTATTCTTTTCATCTCTGCCTGTCCATGGCTGCCTCCTGTAAGGTCCCTAAGAAACTAGGGGATGTATTGGGGATACCCCACATTTCTTTACAGTTCCTTCTTCATAGGTTTCCTTGGACTCCTGGGTCCCTAAGCCCCTCCCTAGCTTCTCTTTGAAAAGACCCACAAGCACATTTGATCCTTTAGTTTCCTAAGGGCTGTGTGCCCAGTAACAGAGCAAGACCCTTATGAGGGGCTGCTCAAGACATGAGCATACTCATCCACCCACCCATCTCTGCTTCCCCCTTGTGCATTCACTATTTACAGAGAACCCACCTGCTACCTGGATAAGGTTCAAGGTGCCACAGAAGTCCATAAGAGACATGGAATGGAGGTGGTCCTTGTCCGCACAGACCTCAGGAGCACTTCCATTGTGGCTAGTTTGAATTAAGATGTACTGTGAGAATACAGATTGGATTACAAATAGTAGAGAAAAAAACAAGTGTAAACTATCTTAAATTTCAGCATTGCTTGCATGTTGTAGTGATAAATGGGTAGATTATAATATTTAGATAAAGATGTAAATTTCTGTGTATGCCTTGGATGTATTGCAGGGATGAGGACAGCAGGGACAAACACCAGCTAGTGCAGAGGAAGTGTTCTACAAAGTGCAAAGAGGAGCGGGGTGGGTAGGCTCTTCTTGGACTGCAACAGCAGAGAGCTCAGGCCATAATGATGTAAGTTGTGTAGGCCCGTGAGTGGGGGAAGGGTTGCGCAGCCATGGTGACACTAGCCTTTATTAGCATGGGCAAGGTAAGGCAGCATTTGAAGGAGGTTGTGTTTATCACAACTCCATGATGCCCCTACTTCTGTTCTCAGTTCCGCATTGCAAGGGAAGGCGCAGAGAGGGCCTGTGATTCACCTGAGTTCACACAGCTGGGAAAGGACACCATCAGAAGCTGACCTGAGAGGTCTAGGTCCACAGCTTCAGGGTAGACTGGCCTGCTGCCCTCTCTTGGGTCAGAAAGGGAATTCCCACAGGAATGGGAAGAGGGGAGATTAGGAAAGGTTGGGGTGACCCCAGGTGGTGGTGATGCTGCTAGGATTCAGAGAAGGAAGCAGCCGTCATTTACAGGCCCCTGCCCTCCCAGGCTCCTGCTCCTATGAGACAAACCCCCTCTTACCCCTTGATCTGTGTCCCTCTGCCTTGAATACCCATACCCTGTTAGTCCATTTACTCTCCTCATTTCTTTCAGTGTCACTTGCCAGACTCCATACCTAAGTCCAGCAGAGAGGTCATGCCACAACAACTAAGTTGTGGAAGGCTATGAGTGGAGGGCCTCACATGGACTCCCTTGTATGGACCCCTGCTATACCTTGAACCTCGCCCAAAGGATTTCTAGCAGACACAATGGAGACTCGGCTTCTATGTACATCATACTTGCTGTCTCTCTTTTAAAAAAATAAAATCTGTTTTGTTCCCTTTATATAATAAATTCATGGCAAAGCACTGATCTCAGATCATTAGAACCAATAAGTATTTGTTGAACAAAGCACAACTTCCTACAGGATTGGTGCATGGCTTGGGTCCTGGTCCCTTACTAAAAGCAGCAAGAGAATGGAGAAAAGACAGATGCACAAATAGGAGAGCTAGGAATCTGGTAATCTGGTGGTCCGGTCTTCTGATGGAGAAGCCACAGCAGAACAGAAGCCCAGTTTGCTTATGACATACATTTGAACAGAGTGTCAGGGATGTGACATACAGCTGGTTGAGGAGGTGGGATTATTACCTGGAGATAAACCAGGAGGTGGAGAGGTGTGTGTGTATATATGTGTCTATGTGTGTGTGTATGTGTGTGTGTTTGTGTGTACAAAAGGCAGTTTTAGTTCATCTCTATAGGAGCAGTCTCTAAGGGGGAAAAATCTTCAAACCATAAACATCCAGTGGGGAGAAAACGAGTGCACACTCTTGCACATACTATCAGCGTCCAAACATGAACCAGAGAAAGGCATTGCCATCTCTTTGAACCTCATCCAGGGAAGATTTTGCCATTCCCATGGATCTGGGCCATTAGAGTCCTCGTCATGGCTTTGTTCATGTCAACAGCACACATCCACTCAGAACTTCACTCCCTCCAGTGCTCTGCTCATTTTAAACATAAGGAAAATGGCATCCAATGAGTTTTAAATACCATCTCTGAGCTGACTTGCTCATAGACTCTGGGTTTCAATAGAAATGTAGAGTTGCCAGACTCCTAGATGAACAGGTATTGATGAGAAGACCCAATCCATCTTCCCTAGCCAGGGTCTCATGGGGCCTCTGTGTCTATGTCTAATGATGTAAACCTTTACACACATGCTCTCCAAGGATTTGGCCCTTTGTATAGAAGCCCCTGTGCCTGCTGGTGCCTCTGCTTGGACAAGCAGAAGTAGTCAATGCTAACTGTCCAGTTCTTCTTGTGTGTGGTGGGATTGGAAAGTCTGCAGGCTCCTGGGGAAGAAGATCCCATACTCTGTCCTGCACACCATGTGAACATGACTCCCTGTCAACACTGCTGCTGTCTGGACGCACTGTCTGCTTTGGTTCTGTGCAGCTGGTCCTGCTCGCTCAGGAGAAGAACACCCATGGAGAAAGAATCCCCTTCCTAGATCTCAGACTTAAAAACACGCTTCCTGACCTGGTAAAATAAGGAATTCACTTGGTACATTTAAGTTTACAACCTCCAGCAGGCAGTGGGGGCCCCTGAGGCTCTGAATCTGTGCCCCAGGGCCTTGACAGATGTCACCAGGCTCTGGAAATTCATGAGGAAACATCCTCAGGGGAAGTTGGTGGCTCATGCTGGAGGCAAAGTCTGAAAGAGGGAGAAAGTGTAACCAGACAAGGACAGACATTTGTTTTGGGATAACCAGTCTAGAGTTCCAGAAAAATGGCAGAAAGAAAATGTGGACTCCAGCTTCTGATGATGGGGAAAGGGGATGTTGGCAAGTAATTCATTGTCACATCCCCAGGACCGTGATGTGTTGAGACATAGTGAAAATACAATAAACATGTGTTGGGGGGAAATGAATGAATTTTGCAGCAGTCTTCTGGGAATTTTTATTACAAGTGCCTAGTAAGAAACAATACAAGTAAGGTTCTAAAATTAGTTACTTTTTTTTTCCTGTGGCTTTGAGAAAAGTCTAGACAAGAACAACTTAAGGAGGCAAGGGTTTCTTCTGGCTCTTGGTTTGAGGGTTGAGCCCATCACAGCAGGGAAAGGCACGAGGTACTGAAGTCAGCAAGCAGGGAGAGATGAATACTGGTGCTCCCCTCGCTCTCCCCAGGGACCATCGGATGCTGTTACCAACATTCAGAGTGGGTCTTCCTTCCTCAGTCAAACATCGCTACAAAGATCCACACAGCCAGGCCCAGTCAAGCTCACAGAGACTCACCTACCTACACTGCATCTCCAGGCAGAGGTTCTCAAGTGTATTAGCTCCAGAGCTGCCTGTGGGTTTGCCAAAACAGCCTGCCAAGCACTGTCCTGGAGCTTCTGGCTTGTTGGAAGTAGGGACAAGAGGCCTGGCCCCAGGGAAGTCTGCATTCCTAACAAGTTCTCAAGAGATGCTGTCCCCTTTGAGCCCTGGACCACCCCTGAGGAATCCTGATGAAATCAATCTGATGAGCTGTATTTGGGGAGGTTTTACAAAGAGCATCTGTGTGGTACATCTCACAAGGCAACATTTTATTGACTCCTGTTTGGGAGCCAAGGCCTGAAAGGATCACAGAAGAACATTTTCCTGAGTGATGGCAAATAGGGCCCTCACGGCACCTGGCTGTCCACTCCTGAGCCGGAGAGCACCAGGAAGGCCCAGTCCCAGGGGTCACTGGCTCTGACCTCTGACTCCTATCCAGTGCCATTAACTTTTCCATCACGGGGTTGTGGCAAATTAATAGGCAAGCCCCAAGGTGAATGAGGGGAAATATTTTAATTAGAGGAGTGGCTGATTGTACCAGGCTCTTCAAAAAAAAATCATGGTAACTGGAAACAACAGGAGCTAAAATGAGCATCATCTAGGGGTGTGGAAGGGAGATTTAATTAGAATCCTTCAAAGGCAGTGTGTTTTTTTAAAATAATGAATGAATGAATGAATGAATGAATGAACTCACGAGCCAGCTGACTGTATAGAGCATCATGCCACAGTTCCTGGGTGCCAGGGCGCAGGCACACCACCAGTGTCTAACAAAGGACTACTGTGCTTTTCTGTCCCTGTGGAGACCGAATATGCTGAGATCCTGAAATTCTTGATTTATATGCTCCCAATACAAGTTGCAAGGACAATTTTCAGGATTGTTTTGGGGATTTGCCCAAATGTTACTCAAAAAATTCCAAACAGGGATGGTCTCTTGGACACAAGCCACCTGCTATATCTCTTGTCCCTAGTGGTCCTGAGTCAGCTGTCTGGTAGAATGCATCTGAGTTGTCATGGTCACCTCCACAGGAAGTACACTGGCTCAGAAGTGCAGGTCTTAAATAAATTAGCAAGAAGAGTGGCACCCTCGCCGTGGCAGGATAGAGATGCTACATAATGGCATGGAGACTCCAGCTCACTGTTATCTTCATTCCCATCTATGCTTAACCTATTTGAATTTGTCTTTCAGGGGCCCTACAGACTTTGTGGATACATTTTAAGCTAGTTTCTGAGCTCAGTGCTTCCGTCCTGTGTCAACTGTCTACACCTAGACCTGAGACACATACACAGAGGGTAGAACAAGCCTAGGAGACAAAGTACTTGGCTGGCTTCCACCCTTCAGCCCTGGGTCAGCAACAGTATTTGTCCTGGGATCCAGGCTTCAAGTTGTCTCCTCAATGTACCAACTTCATGCAACTATCCCAGCTCAAGTTCTCTTTTTTCAGAGGGCCAAGGACCTAAATGCACATTCTTCTATCCAAGGGCCTTCTTAACTCTCACTGATGGGGTTAGGCACAGCCCTCAGCAGCCATTAGTTTCAATTCCCATCTCTAATTCCTCTGTGCTTGATGTCTGAAGAGCTCTCTTTCCATCTGTCTTATTCTTGGTTTTTTTTTTGTTTGTTTGTTTGTTTGTTTGTCTTACTGTTTCCATTTTATCCAGCATCTCAGTCTTTTGGAAGGAATAAAGACTAGAAATACATGCTGACCATTGTAGGTGCCTTCACTAAATTCTCACACTAAACTCACACAACCACCCCAAAAGTTATCATCATTCTCACTCAACCAATGTAGCAGCAAAGAATTGGAAAGATTTTGCTCCCCAAGTTCAAAACAGAAATTCTAAGAAATTAATAAAGAATGGGTGGTATTTAACCCGTTACCCCAGAACCCCAGACTCAGTCTACATGGACTCTCTCCTAATCCCTCATTTTGTTTCCTTATCCATCTAATTTGGGGCCTTGCATAAGCCCCAGGGCAAACTG